TGACAAAATAGCAGCCACAAAATCCTAACAGATTTGCAAATATTTTAATTTGAGAATGAAAGGACACATTTGGGAGAGGGTCAAATTGAAGAAATTGAGAGATATAAATACTGTTTCCATGGTAACCATATACGTCAGATATTGGAAATTTCTGGCACTGACTAACCATGGCTTGCCCTACCCACTATAAAACAATGGATATCTGATATGAATTAGTATTATTTTTATTGGGTGGTATTAAAATACCCCAAAGGATTTCTTTGGGTAGGGGTATAAATTGGCCTAAAGGCCGTCTGCCACCCCTACATGAAGTCCAACTACCCCGAACGTGTCCAGCATAATCATACAGATTGTTTGAAAAATGTTGGAATGTGTGACCTTCCATGACAGGAAGGATGCATTTCTAGAGCACTTCTACAGAATGGACCACAGTCTAAATAGGCATCTCTAAAGTTTAGGCAATATGGGGTACCATGGTAGTGAACGAAAAAACGTACGCTTGCATTTTCATTCTTTGTTATTTTCTGTCATTTTGTAGGGCTGGTGTAAAAGTGCGATGGCTTTAGGAGGAATGTTGATTTTAGTATCATTTTCATTAATAGGGCCAGTGCCATTTCTGTCTCTACCAATGTAAGTGACACATATAGAGCCAAATCGGATCGCTACATAAAAATTATTCCTATTGATTGATTATTTAGAGCTTAGAGTCAGTATTTCAGTGGATTGATTCAAGGGCTATGGACACCTGAGCATTTTCATTATTGGTAAAAGAGTGACGTCATCACTTGCATTACGTTATCATAAAGAACTGGAAAATGTCATTTTTCCTTAACGTCGAATTGACTATTTTATATTTCTATAAAAAAGTATACTAAAACCAGAATTTGAACCAACTCTGTCAACTGGCATCTAGGCTACATTTTAACCAGAAATTGCGGTCATCTTGAAAATGAATGTCAAGGAACCTGCTCATCAAATGTTTGTTTGTCTTCATATTCAAATTAAATTATGTTTGACCATGGGTGACAAAGCATTCATCGAGTGGGGGAATGAGCAACATATAATATCGTATTTTAGATCAATGTGTATATATCTAAAAGGTTTATACGTATATTCCCCACTTAGTATAATAATGATTGATGTTTAGTGACAAAATTTATATATTTTGATTTAGATTGTAAAAGCATGTTTGTATGTAGATGTACCATTGCTATTTTATGGCGAACTCATTTAAATATAAATATGAATCTACTGGTACTATTCATATTTAGATGAGTTTGACATAAAATAGCAATGAAATCGTCAGTCGACAGCCGGAAGTTGATAAACCTAGTTTTGTTTATTGTTTGTATTTTTCTAGGGAATCGCTCTGGTTGAATGTTGTAGGCATTGTAGTGGTAGGCTTAGGTCTTTCTCATCTTCTAGTCCCGCCACTCCAGGAACTTTTGCTTGCTGCATTGTAAGTGAGGTGTTCTTCTTTCACTGTCTTTCTGTCTGTCGGTCGGTCGGTCGGTCCGTCCCTCCCTCCCTCCCTCCCTCCCTCTACCCGCCAAACCGCCTGCCAGTTTCAGCAACATGTCTGAAAAAAATTCAAAATTCATTTTGTTCAAAAGGATTAATTTGTAATATATTACTTATATCCGGACTTTACCCCCTATCACACCAAACTAATTCTTACTCGTTCTTGCCAGTCCTACGAAAACGTCGTAAAACGGGCTCAATTTGGCTATGGTCGGGAAATATGTTAGCTACTTCGTTCATAAACAGTCTTCAATACGTCCATCTCATTCGCAGATTCCCAGTTCGTTCAGGTCGCACCGCGTCGATGTGCAACGTCGTGTAACGCGTCCCTTAGTCTAGAGGGTCATCATGACCTGATTACAGAACGGTATGGTCGCCATCGAATTTTGAATCGATTCAAAATTCTAAAATCATCTTCCCGTCTGAGAACGTTCATGAAGTTCGTATATAGACCTTAAAAAGTTGCAGCTACGTTCATTCCGTTCGCACACAGTTTAAAACAAGTTTTGAAGAACGCAGTGCCAACTTGTTTGGTGTGATAGCTATATTTTTGCTAACTCATTCATAAGCAGACTTTAATAAGTACTTAGTCAGTTTAAACCCATTTGCAATTAGTTCTACCTCGTTCTCAATACGTCCTCAGACAGTTCAACTCGTTGTAAAAACGTCTCTAGTAGGATTGAAGTACGTCGGTTCCGTTCGTAGTACGCCCAGCTCGTCGTTAGTACGTTGTCTCTCGTTCTTATTGTAGAACGTGACGACCACACGAGAACATTTGAGCATATTCTAAGTTCTAGAGGACCTACCCGTTCGTGTACGTTCGAGTACGTTTGTAAATAGTCCCCAAACGGTTCTAAGTACGTCCAGTCCGTTCGTACACAGTTGAAGCCCGTTTTTGGAGAACGTAGTGAGAACTAGTTTGGGGTGATAGTAGGGTTATATTTGCTATTTGGTTTTTCAAGGAAAAATATGATACATTTGCCTTGAATCTGAGAGGGAACCCTAAAACAACCATGGTGGCTTGGAACCAGCCAAGTCACAACGGAACAATACTATGGAGGAATTCACTATATCCTTTCTTTTTCAGTGAAAGTGGATACCCAGACAATCTTGAAACTTATGGAATAGCTTCAGGACTTTACACATCAGCTTTTTCTCTTGGGTAAGTTCAGAATTCCAATTTAAAATGTATGTAGTGATAAGAATTTAATCCTCTGTCAGTGCAAAGTTAATTCTACTAGATGGTACCAAGTTGAAAACGTCATTTGAATCAATGGGCTGTATTATCATTGGCTTTGAATTACGCGGCTAATTGTGTCATTTAAAAAGCCGCTTCTCTATCGGTCAACGTAAACTTTATGGAGAACTTTTCATTCATAAATTAATTCTAGCACACGTATCACGAAAAATCTTTCTACTATACCTGTCATGCTATCTGACCCGAATGAGCCACCTGGTGGTGAAACTGGTAACTGCCTACTTGCATCTAAGTTATTGAAATATTGATATAAACAAAGCACTGCACGTGAATCACTTGACAATCATGAGCATTAGCCTGCTCACAAGGAAATCTGATGTTTCAAAAGAGTATATTCGTCGTGGAAAGGGCCAGAGGTCCTTATGTAGACCCCATGTTGTAAAATCACAGAAAGTGACATATCTTCTTGTATATTGGGCGGGTAATTCTTTAACTGGACATATCTTAATTTGTATAACTATCAGATACATAAGGGTAACATGAAAACCACTAACTGATGATTATTCACGTTTAAGAGAATTTTGTAATACCCTGCCACGTTATTTCCCCCGAATCAGCCACCTGGTGGCGAAAGTGGTAACTACCTTCTCGCATCTGAGTAATTAGATTGTAAAATATCAAAATTTTAAATTTTAAAGTGGTTGCTACTTTAGTTTGCCATAAGTTTAAAAATCTAATAATGCGTCTTTGAAAAAATTGAAAGCGTCTACAACTTTGAAAATATGCTACCATGTGAGCCAAGTATGGTGATCTATTTTCTTTCTGTTAGATGCGCATGGTGTCATACATGTAGGTTAAATAGAACGTAACAATGTCTCCAAACAAAACATATAACACTAATTTTTGAGCATCATCTTTAACAGACAAGTCTCGGTTTGGAGAACGAAGTTCATCAGCCTGCACCGCACTGCACGTTACGCCTGCTTCGGACAATTTTGATATTTTTACATATTGTGAAATATCCTCTTTTGAATATTCATAATTTAATTTGGGTTTTATTTCTATGTTTTTCATGAAAATAATTTTTAGCCCAGTAGATTGTTCTCCAACCAGAGGCTTGTCTTTTGTATGTAAACCTCTGATTATTGCGGTGATTTCGGTGGAGCAAGAAATAACAGAGGGTTCCGATTAGCATCCCGTATAAAAACAATATGGCGGCTCCAGGCGAATCAACTGGATCAGTCCATTTTTAAGAAATAAGGGGAGTTCTGTAAAATCCAGTTTATTGAAATTGTCTTTGAGATAAAGTAATCCGTTTATAATGATTTTGAAAACGTTATCCAAAGAGTGATTGCGTTCAAAGAATACATGTACAACAGCCAATATAAATCCTTGTATTAGAAACCGGTTTGTCTTGCTTTGTTTCATTTGTAGGATATTTCATATGCTAAGCTCTGTGCTATTACGTTATGGGGAAATTTAGATGCCAATTTTTCCTTATTATACACAAATAAAAGATCCTGAAACTTCACCCATAAATGTGGAATTGATTTGTCAAAATAAAAATCACCCTTTTATAAATGTGTGACGATCTATAATATACTTATGCTATATAATAGTTAGAGGTGTTGACACAACGACCTCGAACCTGTGAACCCTTGAGTATTATTCCGGGATCGGGCCTTTTATACTAAACGGTGAGCAACACCAGAAACGAGCGTTCAATTTGCTAAACGATATGCGTCACCCTTTAATCCCAAAGGTCAATAGCTTGAATAACCCAACCGCAAATTGTTGCTCCAGGTAAAATGTCCAGCTCAATAACTGGAATAAATCAGTGTGTCCACCTACTGTGAAATAACATTTTCTCCTAAAATTGTTGAATTTCTGATTCATTTTTCAGAGGATTTGCGGGTGCCATTGGAGGCGGATCTTTATTAGATAAAGTAGGTTTCCCATGGACAGCATTTATTATGGGTCTTGTGGGAGCTTCGTGCACATTACTTCTGGCCTTATATCATCTTACAACAAAGTTTTGTTGTAAGTCCAAAGATGAGATACCTGGAGAACACATTCCTTTGATTCCATAGTATGCTGCATGTTTTTGATATCAGCTTAATTTTGGACAATGCAATGTTATGATTTGGATTAAATTTACAACAACATCACGGAACTGCGGTCCTTGAGGTGTAAAACTATGGACTCAGTAAAAGTAAAAAAAAAACACACACATTATGTTCGATACAACAGAAGAAAGCACACTTTTTATTAGTATTTAAATCAGCAAAATACATTTTTATCTGTAGATATAGATCTATGTTCTACAAATCAGACCCTGTGTTGTTATTGAGCTCCTTTGAGTGCTTTGACCCTAACTCAAATACCACTGGTCGGATTTGGTTTAAATATACAATTTATGATTTCTCGGGACAAAGGGGGTCTATTCAGAGGACATTTGCAAGGGGCTGCTACGGGGTAACCCAAAAATGCCAGCCACTAATTTTGGAAAAACTCTCAATAATTAAGGAATCTAGTGATTTCTTGTGTAGAGTGTTCAATGGATCAAAGATTGTTGTACTTGGATAGCATCAATGATTTTCAGATCTAGAGACATCACATTTGCCGTCCAGGCATGCTCTCGGTGAAACCACCAATTGCAAAAATGTTCAAAAATATAATTTTCTGAAATTGAGATTTCTGTCTTAGCCATGAGAGACTTTTTCACATTTCTCCCCTATTCAAAGACCTAAATATTAAATATTTTTTATGCTAACAGATATTCTATTGGTCGATTTATGTACAAACTCTTGTATAAACACCCTGGTCTTCCAAATATCGTTTTCAAGATATATTTGATGAATCATTAATGTTTAACACCATTATACAAGGCAGTTGCATCATTTTCATATTCCCAAATGCTTAAAACTTTCCCTTCGTTACCTATGTCCAAATCTTTCGAATGCTCTACCAGATAATATTAAAAAATGATCTCCACTCCACTCCACTCCACTAAATATATTCAAATCTGCATATAAAAACTACTCATCCATGGATATTGCATCTTATACTATACTGTATTGATTTATACTACATTTTTGTAGCATTTAAGACTTCACACTGATATATTTTTCTACATTGTATATTCTAAGATTAATTGAAAATACTATTATTTATTCTACAAGTAGTTAAAAAATTAATTTCTGTACATGTTACACCGCAACATATACCCATTGGGTGTCTAGTGGCATGTTTTATAGTGTATAGTATATAAGAAATTATAAAATAAATTGAATTAAATAAAGTTAAAGATTCTTAAGCCAGATTAACAACTCAATTTAGGTGAGAGCAGATCCAATTCGGCTATTGTTTTTTGGCATAATCTTTAATAGAAGCTGGATTTATTTGGTATAATACAAGTTGGTTTCTTACCCTACTATCACACCAAACTAGTTCTCGAAAACAGGCTTAAACTGTGCAAGAACGGATTTGACGTTTGACAAAAATTTTTGGTGATCAAACGTTGCTGAATCGGTTTTAAACTGTGTGCGAACTGAATGGACGAAGCTACAACGTTCTACGGTCTGTTTAAGAACTTCATGGACTTTCACGGGAATGTGATTTAGAATTTTGAATCGATTCAAAATTCGATGGCGACCATACCGTTCTGTAATCAGGTCATGGTGACCTTCTAGACTAAGGGACGCGTTATACGACGTTGCACACCGACGTGATGCGACCTGAACGAACTGCAAATGAGATGAACGTACTGAAGACTGTTTATGAACGATTTTGCTAATTATTTTAGACATATTCCCGACCACAGCCAGATTGAGCCCGTTTGTTAGTTAGTTTGGTTCGGTTCATTATACATTTATTTCAATCATATTGCAGTCAAAAGAGTTACACAGGTCGCTGCCTAGCGCAATGTGCATTACAGGCTAGCGTTTTGAAATGAATATAAATTAAATTAATTTAATTAATTGAGTGAGTTATACATATAAATGTGCTAACTAGTAGCCTACACCTAATGGTGAAAAGTAAATCAAAATAAAATAGGTTAGGTTAAGCTAAGAATAAAATCAACGAACCTTCCTTTTAGTTGAGAATCTTGTTGAATTGAGAATGAATTTTTGAAAATTAAAAATTCAATTTTGTCTTGTCCACTGAGATGGGTCTCAAGGTTTTGCTGCTCAAGGGTTTCTTCAAGGTTTTTCCTTTGTGTTGAATGGCGCTTACATTGCAGAATCAGGTGTTTAGGGGTTGCACTCTTACCACAGACACATAGATTAGTTGTGTTGGGAAAATTATGAGCAAACTTTTGTGACTCAAAATAGAGTCCGCATCTAATTCTGTTTAAGGTAATTTCTTGTTTTCGAGAAAGATTGAGTTTAGAAGTTGTATTGAAGTCATTAAACTTTGAAGATTTCTTTTTGATTTTACTTTTGAACAAAGAGATGGTGGGAGTAGACCTCTCTTCTAGTGATAACTTATTCCATTCAGAGATCAATCTTAGCACTGGTCCATTAGTTAGTTTGGTGTGATAGAGGGGTAAGCAGATGTGATACGATCCAATGAAATGCAAACCAATGAGTTTTTCAAGTTGTAACAACAGTAGTCCCGTCCTCTTGATGTTCTCTTGTAAACCCCGAGTGAGCTGAGTGAGTTATAATGGGCCACGAAAGCAGAATGTGTTTGAATGCGTTAACAAAATGATAGATTGGAATAAATGGCAGAAGCAGGACGAGTCAATCACACCGATGAGTCCAATTCTTCCAGTCCGTGCTGTGTATATGGTACATGCAATCCATCAAGGGCATGCATACACCAAGGGTTCGCTAAATGTAGCATTGTTGGCAATCGTTGCGTTGAAGTACGTTTCCTCAGATTGGGAAAGTAGTCCTAAACAGAAACAATATATTGCTAATAAAGAGAAAACATGACATAAAAAGAGATAATTCCTTAAAATGATTCTTATGTCTGGATCAGTCACCCTTTGATCTACGGCAACCGTATAACGAACGTAGCTTCCCACATTCGATACATCCCAAATAATAATAGATGATAATATAATAGAGAGACAGATAATTGACATATAAAGAAAAACATATTCGGCTTTCCTTAGCAGCATGTATTTCTCTAAACAAAACAAACTTCATGGAAATAAAATTATCGTTTAGTAAACACACTTGCCAATAATCAATACAATCCAACTGATCTAAGAAATATTCAATGCCAAGGGTGGCACTAAAATACAAACCAGTTATCAATAAATTAATGATAGCATCCTCGTAACGTATCATATGTAGACTGGAGTTAGACTGTTAAATACTAGGGAGAAATATATACGTGGCGATTCGTGAAAATTCAGTGATCATGATAAGAACGTTATTCAAAAAATAGAAGGCAGCATTTTTTCTATCACTATATGATACCAAGGACTTCCTTGATGATACCTACCCGCAATACTGGCCGTTAGAAATCCTGCCAAGTTTCCAATATTCAAGGCTCGTAACCCCATTTCTGAAAGGTCAGATCTTCGAGAAGGAGCAAATGCGCCAAATGCACCCACATTTATGCCAATGTCACCAAGGCTTCCGAATCCACAAAGAGTATAGGTGGCGATATCTCTGGATCTGGCCTATTAATGTATACACACAATATGTAAGAGAACTAAGCACCTCAATGTATTCCAACGGGTTCCTGGTCTTACTCTCCATAATATTCAATACTCCATACGAGTCTAAAACTAAAATCAACGAGTCTACTGCCATAGTAAACCGGTTGAATAACAAGCAACTAAAAGAATGAGTGTCTGTCAAATAAAAAAGCGGCGGTAGCAAGAGAGGACATCCTTGCAGCAAGGGTATTTTACAAGTATGAATTTAAGCATGAATAAAGTCCTTTGAAGAAGGATGAGAAAGGAATAAAGAAAGTATTTTTGCAGTGCTCCAGCTCGTATCGTGTACACTGTTTGTTTGCTTATTTTACTCACAGATAACTTCCCAGCTTGATAGTATTCGTCCAAGTAGAGATAAGAAAGAAACTCATTGGCAAATATTTTTGTTCCTATCAGTTCCCCGACAATTTCAGTGTCCTCCCATGATACTCCGAGAATATAGGCCAACGGTTTCAACACCTTGGAACAAATCCACTGAAATTGCAAAAACAATCATTACCCGAGCTCGACAGCGTAATATAGCTAGATTTAATGAAGTTAGAAATTTCGGAAAGGGTTTACACATAGTCAATGCCCGATCAGCATCAAATAAACATGCATGGATTAAAATTGACACAAATGTATGACCAGCTGGCTGAGTTGTTCAAGACCGAGGTACACCAAGAGAAGCTACCCGAGACCCAGTACATGCAGTAGTAGTAGTAGAAATAATAGTCTATAGATGAAGGTAATTGAAAATGGTAACCAGTTTGAACAAGTGGTCTATGCACGAGCCCCCAATATCCCCAAAAATCGATGGCAAACCGTAATGACATAGAAGCATGGAAAGTAACCCTACTATCACACCAAACTAGTTCTCACTACGTTCTCGAAAACGGGCTTCAACTGTGTACGAACGGACTGGACCTACTAAGAACCGTTTGGGATCTATTTACAAACTTCATCGAACGTACTCGAACGGGTAGGTCCTCAAGAACTTAGACAATGCTCAAAATGTTCTCGTGGTCGCCACGTTCTACAATTAGAACGAATGACAACGTACTAACGACGAGCTGGACGTACTACGAACGGAACCGTCGTACTTCAATCCTACTAGGGACGTTTTAACAACGAGTTGAACTGTCTGAGGACGTGTTGAGAACGAGGTAGAACTAATTGCAAACGGGTTGAAACTGATTAAGAACGTATTTGACACTGCTTATGAACGAGTTAGCAAACATATAGCTATCACACCAAACAAGTTGCCACTGCGTTCTTCAAAACTGGTTTTAAACTGTGTGCGAACGGAATGAACGTAGCTGCAACTTTCTAAGGTCTATTTACGAACTTTATGAACGTTCTCAGACGGGAATGTGATTTTAGAATTTTGAATCGATTCAAAATTCGATGGCGACCATACCGTTCTGTAATCAGGTCATGTTGACCTTCTAGACTAAGGGACGCGTTCTACTACGTTGCACACCGACGTGGTGCGACCTGAACGAACTGAGAACGAGATGGACGTATTGAAGACTGTTTAAGAACGAAGAAGCTAATTATTTCAGACAAATTTCCCGACCACAGCCAGATTGAGCCCGTTTTACGACGTTTTCGTAGGACTGGCAAGAACGGGTAAGAACTAGTTTGGTGTGATAGGGGGGTTAACAATACGGAGCCAATGAAAATAATACTCACTGGAAATGAAAGTCCTTCGAAGCCAACAGCGGCTCCTAAATAAAACAAGACAGCGTTGACGAAGCTCAGTAGTGCCACAGCCGCAATTAGATTGACGACCATATGACTGGCCAGTTTAATGATAGCAACGGCACCGTTCGCAGCAGCTTCAATGAAATTTCTCGAAGATCTAAACTTGAAATTATAGAAAATGTTAATGATATCAGAATAATTTGGCCTGACAGTTATCATTGATGTACATAACACTGTGTATTACGTAATCAGATCTCATGAAGAATTCAATTGCGCCCATGCCTCTAGGAATTTACATTCCATACCAGGGTTGTTAATTATTTAAGGATAACCACTTAATAATAGAGGAATCCTTTAACTAAATATTTGATTTATAAAGCGCAGCATAGATGTTCCAAAATCAGTGTGCTCAATGATTTGGTCCACTTGAAAAATGAAACGCTCTGCGTCAGTTGAATAGAAAAGAAAAATAACCTAGGTCTCCTTATAAAGCAAACATTATATTCCATCTTAGCTAATCATGTTAATTTGCCACAGGTATTGACAACTCTCCATACGGTTTGTCTAGCTTTATATCTGCTACTTTTGTCGTTGATATGTCAGTCTCAGGAACGCTCAGTTTCGCCAATGCTAACGCTGCAGGTGCACTCATAATGGCTGCTGTTAAAACGTGCTCAGCTGGTGCCTTTGATAAGATAAAAATCAACATTTCCTTTAATCCGACCGTCTAGCGTGGAAATAAGGCATTTTATTTGAAAATGTCGCACAAGAAAAGTGTGATGCCCCGACCACCCAAAGCTAACAGAAATCTCAATTTTTTACATATAAGAAAAGTTAGTATATATCCGTCATATTGCGTTGCCATTTGGGCTTTGTAATGAGATATCCCACCGAAACCACCGGGAGCCATTCTCCTGTAGAGTGATCAAACTTAAAATTTTAATTACCCTATAGCCGGGCCCTATAGTCACCCAAGATACTTACCCCCATCGCTATAAATACGGCCATGGTATCCCCAGCCACTGTGGCAAACCCTCCACACATTACAGCATGTAACTCAGAATATGTAAGACTTGGAAGCCAATCTCGTATAATCACAGCTCCTTCGACCTAAAAGAGATCTCCTTTTCACCCTTTTTGATAAAAACTTTCACGCATAATAGATGTCGCAGTTATACGTATTTCCGAAATATGGCAAATTGTAATAGTATGTTATATTGTATGGTGATTATATTCAAATGTGGATTAGCTTTTGAGGGTTGGAGAGGGGGTACTAACCGCTGCTTTTGTGAAGTCCCGGGAGAAACAAAAACAATACAAGGTCAAAACATCAATGATTGCACCATCTTACTCGAGTCTCTAGCCAATACTTGGCTAGAGGGGATTCATCTGGAATACTGTGAACTCTATTTGAAAAAAGCTGCCGGGGTGTCATAAATTTATTGAATATTTTAAAAATCGCCAGATAAATAAATCATTAATCACACCGGACCCAGCTCGGCTCTTTGATGAGATATGACATGATTTCATCAGGATTTCGTCTAAAATTAAAACAAAATGGCTCCAAGAAAAATGGCGATGTTCGAAAACTGGACGAAATGTCGTTACGTCTGACATTAGTAACTGGCTGTAAATTCTAAGTTAGCGATCCAGAAGATGTGAACTAATACACTGATCACTTTGTGTGTGTTTTGGAATTTTTGGTGAGGTAATAAGACCAAAACTCGCAATTCAAATTGTGATGTGGAAAAATGGCGGATATATGATTTCAAATTTTATGATTACGACATGACCAGTTGTTCATGCAGGAATATATCTGTACTGGAAGGCCACGATACAGTGGCCTTAGAAGAAGGTAAGCACCATCGACTCTCACCCAACGTTTTATATAGGATTTGACGCTTGCTGATATGCACTGGAGGTTGAGGGATGTATACAGGTATACTTACACTACTGACGAGTATATTCGCCGTTGCACTAACGGACTCGATTGCTGTTGTTCCAAGCGTGACCTCCATCAGCCACCCGAGTTTTAGAATTATCTGCTGGATTACGCCAAAATGGAACAAGATTCCGATAATTGAGCTGAAAAAGACTGCCTGTGGTAATGCCTGGAATATACGAAATACGAAAATATTCACATAACTAATCTAAATGGTGATTTTTGTAGGGCCTTTTCATTCTTAAATGTTTTATTTATTTATTGCTTCCAATGGCTGTGTAATTTCAAAGCCTTGTTGTCCTATACGTGATGAGATGACGTCAAGTCGAATTAGAATACAATATTTTCGCAATGCCCCTCCTGTATCAGTGTAGCAATGTCCTAACTGTACGCTGACTTTGAAATACGTTATGCCGTTTAGTAATTTATTTATTGTTCGACGTAATCATTTTATTTATTGCCATGTCACCCCAAGATAGAAACAATATAGATGCTTACTTGAAATACAATTGGGAAGTTACAATAGAGTGCTCCAAATACAAATGACGATCCAAAATTTGCATACGCTAAGAACGTCCTAAGTTGAGTTGCGATCCAATTTAACGCGATAAAGCCATAACTCCAGCGAAGCACTACGAGTCCAAATACCAGTTGAATACCTAGTCCCCAGAGCACGGGTCGCCATTTCACCTGGAAATTATTATTAACTATCGGTTAACAATTCTTTTATTGATTATGTGTGCAATTCTACATAGTTTGGTTTGTTCATATTACAAATATTTGTGTCAATTATATTTATTTATTGACTTTGAATGATCAGTATTTCTTGGGTATCAATTCGTGAAAAGTAGCTACTTGCCTTCGCTGGGTTTGCTGACGTGACAAAACATACGAGAACTATTGAGCATGCGCCAACTGCAGATATCAGATTCTTTGGCCTTTCTTTTCCAACTAGAAAATACAGCATCAACCCAATGCCGACCAAAACTAAGAGCAGGAAGACCCTGGAATACAAAAGAAAGTGACATCTGTTACCTCATAGATAATCAGTCAAAACACTTTGTGTTCGACCCTAGACTATAATTTGTTACATAATTTTCAAATATACTCATTGATAATAATGAATACTCGTCAATTTTGGGGCATTAAATAAAAAAAGTTATTCCTAACCCTGTAAGCAACGTTAGGTACCACTCCGTCGATTTTGGATTGATATAACCCCCCTTATCACACCATACTAGTTCTTACCCGTTCTTGCCAGTCCTACGAAGACGTCGTAAAACGGGCTCAATCTGGCTGTGGTCAGGAAATATGTCTAAAATAATTAGCTACTTCGTTCATAAACAGTCTTCAATACGTCCATCTCATTCGCAGTTCGTTCAGGCCGCACCACGTCGGTGTGCAACGTCGTTTAACGCGTCCCTTGGTCTAGAAGGTCATCATGGCCTGATTACAGAACGGTATGGTCGCCATCGAATTTTGAATCGATTTAAAATTCTAAATTACATTCCCCGTCCGGGAAAGGCCATGAAGTTCGTAACCAGACCGCAGAACGTTGTAGCTACGTTCATTCCGTTCGCACACAGTTTAAAACCAGTTTTGAAGAACGCAGTGGCAACTTGCTTGGTGTGATAGCTATAGTTTGCTAACTCGTTGATAAATTCGTTCTTAATCAGTTTTAACCCGTTTGCAATTAGTTCTACCTCGTTCTTAATACGTCCTCAGACAGTTTAGCTCGTTGTAAAAACGTCCCTAGTAGGATTGAAGTACGACGGTTCTGTTCGTAGTACGTCCAGCTCGTCGTTAGTAGGTTGTCACTCGTTCTAATTGGAGAACGTGACGACCAAGAGAACATTTTGAGCATGTTCTAAGTTCAAGAGGAGCTACCCATTCGAGAACGTTCGATGAAGTTTGTAAATAGACCCCCCAAACGGTTCTAAGTACGTCCAGTCCGTTCGTACACAGTTGAACCCGTTTTCGAGAACGTAGTGAGAACTAGTGTGGTGTGATGGTAGGGTTACTGAGTGAGTAATAGATAGGTAGATGAGGTGTTTATGGACTTACCATTTTAAAACTCTGGATGCTTTCGAACAAGCTGTTCCAAAAGAAGTCAAACAACATTTCCAAATTCTCTCACCATGGTATTTCTTTACAAAATAGTATATAACGCAGAGTATCACCAGTCCAGTGATTATTATCAAAGGAAGGGCCATTTGGACACTGTAGGCAGTTGCAAAGCCCAGGTAAATCAGCCACCCAACGATAAGTACGGCTACAAACAACCATTTCATGATCCGAGTACGTTTCGGATTCCCATAGAAGAAATCATGCATACCCTTCTGAGCACCACCAACTATTAATTCATACTTTGATACTTGGTCTTTCACGACCAACTCTTCTTCATTTTTCTCTATGTCTATAGCATTCTCATCTTCGTTCACTCGGCTCTCGTCGGTCGCAGAAGACCGAGCGTGCGAAGATGTCGCATTCTCGTTCTCGATTGATATTTTTGTCTCATCGGCTGACATGTCGTTCAACTCGAGCTTTTCACCATTTTGGACATCCTCGAGTGATTCGTTGCTTCTTTCAAGACCTTGATTCTCCATTTTTCCCAAATCTCATTTGCATGTAATTGTATGCAATTTTGCACAAGTAATTTGTCGTTTGCGCTATCAACGGCTTATGTTTCCGCCCTGTGGTTCATTAGCTTGCCGCCCCTGTGGTTCTTCTTCCCGTTTTGCTTATTTAATCAGCTGGGGTTGACCTGCGTTATTGTATCCCAACATAGTTCACTCTACCAATATTTGCTGCAGTATTTGTAAATATAGCACGACTTTATGACTTTGGTCCATTGATTCAAAACATATCACAGTTATTTTCTTAAAGTCCCCATGTAAAGTTCAAACCACTTTGGCTTATATTTTAGTCTTACCCAATGTTATCAAAGTCTGATATGTGAAACTTTTTATTTTAATTTCAAAAAGTGGTTGAAGGACTTTTTGTTCGAAAAATCGTGAATTTCTTTAAAACTACTTTTTAGAGGTTACACTTATCTTTTAATAAGCGATAATTCATATCGATGCACAGCATTCATCCTTACGTGTTTTCTGCCGAAAAATTTAAAAAATCGGTTCTTAGATAAGCGAGATATCAACTCACCAACCCATGAAAATGGTTCAGAGAAAAATGCATTTCAAAATTTTAGTTCTCATAGAAACCAATGGAAAAATATTATCTAAAACATAATTATATTTTCACGCGGTACAAACTTCGACCGTTAATTTGAATTTTTGACCTACCAGATGCTTGAAAATCAAGGATTGCGAGTCTCATACTGCATCGTTTATCTTCAAACTTATACCATTAAAAGCAAAACAAAATTGCCTTTCTGTCGGTGCATTACTTTGTTGTAAAGAGTCCCTCGTTCAAGCAGCGTTTTGGTCCCCAGCTGTTAGAAGTCTTTTTTACAGCTGGGGACCAAAATGCCGCTGGAAGTAGGGACTCTGTTTAAAGAATAATGTACCATCAGAAAGGGATTTTTGTGATGCTTTGAATGGAACAAGTTTGAAGAAAAACGGTGCAGTATGAGACTCGTAATCCTTGATTTTCAAACATCCGGTAGGTCAAAATTCAAATTAACGGTCGAAGTTTGTACCGCGTGATTCTTCCCTTTAACCTGGTTAGACAATCAGCATTGATTTAATTTTGAAGTTTAGCATATTTAGAAAATATTGACATGAATTTTTTTTCAATAAATTGTGAGTGAGTCATCAATGACATCACTCAGGTTGCAAAATATTTTTGATATGCTGAAACATTGAAGTGGCACATCAGATATGATATTTTATTATTGAAATAGTGTGTCCTTTGTTCAATCTTTGCATAGGTGTTAAAAAGATAATATATTTTTAAATATATGGTGGAGTATTTGATGATTAAAAAATTTCAACTTCTTTTGAAAAATGACGGGAAATTTGAATATTTGAGAAATGCAAAGCTGACAACACTTCTTTTTCAAATGTTTTTAGCTTTTAAAGTCATGACAAATAGTAAACGAACGATAAAAAATATTTTCAAACATTACACGGGGACTTTAAAGGGTTTCATGACAAAGTATTCGTTTTCATTCAGGATTGATGCACATCAGCGCTTCTATTTACAAACTGCTTGAATCGTTTAAAGGGAATCTATGTCAAAAGGTTAGATCCCTGTATGCCCTGAGAGACAAAGTAGTCAAAATAACACAAGGGGCGTATCAGGGGCACCCCCTGGCTACGCCCATGAACCTTTTTTATTCAGCAGTAATATTACATATATTTAATACAATAACTAATCCGCTGGATACCCTTCAGGATATATAAATAGCGTTTATCTACAATATTCAGGATATATATAGCGTTTATCTACAATATTTTGTTAAAATAAATTTATTTTGCTGAAAGAAATATGGAAAAAGAGAGAAATGCAGTAGCGACTCTGCATTGCAAGGAAAGGTTGACGCCCAGGCTGATGTAAAACTGATACTGAAAGGCATTTTTCGATAATGTGATTAATATATTCAATTTATCCTGACCTCATTTGGTGAATGATAGAAACAAATGTGCATTTATAACTAAATCGACTAGGTTTATCATCATGCATTGAACAAATGAGAGAGTATACATTGTAAATTGCGTTTCGGTCGTTTCAACTGTTTCAATCGTTTTAATCAGTTCAATCATTTCCTCTGTTTCACACGCATGTTTCAATGCTTGCGTCATTTCGTGGGCTTCTGTTGAAAGCCCATGGCCATTTCAAGTATGTCAATCTATTCGCCGTTTCAAGCATACCCTGCGCGCAGAGTCTATAGACTAGTGAAATACGAAGCTCTCTTTAAGAAGTGAAGTTGAACGAATGCAAAGGATTTAACGTTCATACTGTCCGGTCACCGGGTGCGATAATTGTCAAAGATGTCAGGTCAGTGCGAACCAACTATGACCGACGCCAAACACATAACTGAAGACCATAGCAATATCAGCATCTCATGGTGGTCAAAATAGGAAAAAATGATGTATCGGGGATTCATTCAAATTACCAACAAAAATAGATGTCTCACCAGTCATTACCACAGGGGCTGTGCCAATTTCTTGAAAATCACACGTTTAAAGAGTACTTCTTCAAAACAAGTAAAACGTTCAATTTCAGCATAAACCTTTTTCAGGTCACGTTAAATGCAGTTGCGATATTATCTAAATAGCATGTGCGTAGGGCTATATTTTGAGTTGGTGCGCCCACTCGTCAACTTGAAAAGTTCTTTTCTGAAAAACTTAATGATTAAATATACAAAAAAAAACAAAGACAAATACATAATTGAGAATTTGATATTCTTTATTTCAACTATGGTTCCAGGATCCAGTGAGCTGTATACAGAACATATGAGCACTGACAGTTAACATATACATGCATTACATCAGATATTCCATCCAATTTTTAAGTTCATTTCATGCGGTTTACTTCTCATTTCAATGCCATTTACCTCTCAATTCAATGCCATTTACCTCTCAATTCCAGGCCATTTACCTCTCAATTCCATGCCAGGTCATTTACCTCTCAATTCCATGCCATTTACCTCTCAATTCCATGCCATTTACCTCATTTACCTACAATAACTACTTTATTAACAAAGAGCTTAAATAAAGTGATAGACTCCTGTTTATCAATAAAGAAAAAAATTGGTTCCTGTTCACTGTTAAATAGAGGGACTGGCCCTCGTTTACCACCAATATTTATTAGTAAATGAGCTAATTCAACTTAATCAGTAAATACTAAATAAATAAAAAAGATTGACTCCTATTCATCAATGAATAAAGGGATTGACTCATGTTTGTCTGCAAATAAAAGGATTGACTCATGCCTGTCTGCAAATAAAGGAATTGACTCATGTTTGTCTGCAAATAAAGGGATTGACTCATGTTTGTCTGCAAATAAAGGGATTGACTAATGTTTGTCTGCAAATAAAGGAATTAACTTACTGTTTATTAAATAAAGGGATTGACAAATGTTGTCTACAAATAAAGGGATCGACTTCTGTATATTAATTAAAGGGATTGACTCATGTTTGTCTGCAAATAAAGGGATTGACTTCTGTTTATTAAATAAAGAGATTGACTCATGCTTGTCTGCAAATAAAGGGATTGACTTCTGTTTATTAAATAAAGGGATTGACTCATGCTTGTCTGCAAATAAAGGGATTGACTTCTGTTTATTAAATAAAGGGATTGACTCATGTTTGTCTGCAAATAAAGGGATTGACTTCTGTTTATTAATTAAAGGGACTGACTCATGTTTGTCTGCAAATAAAGGGATTGACTTCTGTTTATTAAATAAAGGGATTGACTCATGTTTGTCTGCAAATATAGGGATTGACTTACTGTTTATTAAATATAGGAATTGACTAATGTTGTCTACAAATAAAGGGGTCGACTTCTGTTTATTAATTTAAGGGATTGACTCATGTTTGTCTGCAAATAAATGGATTATTACATTATACAAAAAGTAGCATACATCATTGATATAACATAAAAAAGTTAGAAAATCAAAATCAGATTGTATGATTTTATCTTTGGCATTTAGTGAATACTACAAAACGTTCTTTCAGTACCTTCCACTATCATATACAACTAAAATAAAATACATTATTAATACCTGTCATACAATCATGTATACTGTAGTTAGACCTGGGAGATTCATACATGTCATGATGATCACCAAGAGTAGAGTACATTCAAATATGAAGTAGGCCGAGTAGAATAAAAATGGGGGCCATTATCATATACTTTTGCTTTAAGTAACATAATTCACTATTGTAATGTACCATACACATAGTAATTGACCATACTCTTACTCATGGTAATGTATCATAATCATAGAAACCATACCCATGGTAATGTACCACACTCATAATAATTGACCATACTCATGGTAATGTACCAAACTCATAATAATTGACCATTCTCATAATAATTGACCATACTCATGGTAATTAACCATACTCATGATAATTGACCATACTAAGCAAATATTTCATTCTATGGAGGGCAATACCTGTTCATCTTTCAATGATTTTTGCAGCATGTATTGCCCGCAGCCCAATATATATATCATTGCTAGACATTATTCGCTTACTTTGCAGACTGGCACCCTTGTAATATTCCCCATCCTTCGTTCGGGGTTCAAGAAAAAAACCCTCTAAAATTCCATCCAGAACGATTTTATCGATAGATTTAACGTCTACTTCGTTATCTTTTTCGTCCACATAACACTTGAAAATGTTCCAAGACTTTCCGTCGATTTAATGGTGTTTTTAGAATGCACACATCTCAAGATGTCGTTCTTTGCATCGGAATTCAGACTTTTAAATCTTTTTCCGTCTGCCATTTTAATGCACGTCACAACTGTACTGGACGAAACGGGACGATTCAGAATTCCCGGGCGGGCAATACGCCGGGCAATACGTCTTTTATAATTCAAAAATTAAGAGAGCTGTGAAATACGCTTTGGTATTTTTGATCACATGGTACTGAATCAGCCAATCAAAGGACACAAATTCTAGCAATGATATTATAATCATAGTTATCTAACATACTCAAGTAATGACTATGTACCATACTCATAGTAATGTACCATGCTCAATAATTATGGTAATATACTGTACTCATAGTAATGTATAATACCCATGGTAATGTACCATACTCATTGTGATGTACCATACTCATAGTAATGTAATTGTCCATACTCAAGGTAATGTACCAAATTCATAATTTACCATACTCATATTTAATGATTTTAGAGTGCAGATTAGGGTACAATAATCCTAAAGATCCCGAAATATACGAAAGCTTCTGGTAATATTCCACGATCTTATTAACATTTATTTATATTTTAACTTTATTTTATCCACTTTGCATTACCTTAGTGGCCATTAAATGTCAAGTACTCATATATATTCCTATATATCCTATGATTATCGTGTCATAATACAATAACAGCCAGTTATAATTCTGATATTATGAAGATTCATGTGATATTTTACAGAAAATTGTTGTGAGCACCATATGCAACTGATAGTGTTTATCCGGCACACAACTTTATGGTAAAAAAATTAAATTTCACACAATAATATGGACACAATAATCATGAAATAACCCCAATATCAGATCATTTCTTGTGATATCATTTTATCACCTTGTAGATTGATACTGATATTGTTAAAAAAGATCTGATATTCTCCATGTATTATTCATCCAAAAGTAAGTACATAAATAGAGATATGGAAATTAAACTTTCAATGCCAGTCTTTATGAGTATTGCTGTATCAAGCAGAGAGTCTTTTAAACACTTTGATTAAATTTGTCACTAATTATAGAGCATACACATGTACATGTACAGTAGTTTTAGTCGTTGACTTACTTTAGACATAGACACTATGCTCAGGTTGAAGTGGGATAAATACATAACATTTATACAATTGATCAAATATGACATATAAATAATTTGTTTGTGCAAACAAACTAACAAATGAAAAAATATAATAAATAAGTTATTTTTATTTGAGAATGATCGTATACAGCTAAAACTCTATACAAGTGTACTTAATTCATTTGGTATTTTAGTTGATACATGTATATAGTCATATAATTCAAACGGAATCGTCCATTAAGTAATAATATAACTTTATATGGAATTTTCCTTGCCTTATTCAGTGGGTCTGCACATTATGTAATTGTATGTGTATGGAATTTTCCATGCTAAGGTTCAATGGAATAATGATCATCTAATGTGAATCTTTGTTTTATAAATTGTCTCAATTAAAGCTAGCATGTTTTAAAGAACATAATTTAGAGTAACCAAAGTGTCAATGATGACTGGAATATCTGGATCCTATATCATATAACGATGTAACGGAAATTTCCACAATTCATGATGGAAATTTCCACAAATCATCATAATGGAAATTTCCACTTATCAGATCCATTATTTATGATGCTGAGGTCTGTTTGCTATACTCCTGCATTTCTGCAATAGTTGGTGTGTTTGATCGGAAGCGATATGCTGCATAACTGGTCACGGCATATGTGGTGTATCCATTAGCAACCAAGAAATTTAATGGTGAAGGGTTGCGTAGCTCAGCCCATTGGCATTTCATCAGCAGTTTGAAGGCTTTACGGAAGTTCTTATTAAATATTGTGTATATGATAGGGTTGATGGTACTTGAGACATACCCAAGCCATAAGAACACAGTGAACAATATCGGATCCATTGTAAGTCTATACTCTAGAATGTCACAGATTGCTGTCGTGACATTCACAACAAAAAACGGCACCCAACAACAGATAAAAATAACAAATATAACACCTAAAACTTTTGCAGCCTTTTGCTCTGTTCTTACAGCTGCAGACTTTTTTGTGTTTATGCTACGAGTATTTAGGAAGGCTGCCACAGCTTTCACACGTGGCGTCATGAGTTTATTTTTAATTTTGTGATGTTCCGGTGGGCTCCCTTGGTCTGAACTTTCACTGTTTGTTGGACTTGTATTTAACAGTTCTAACTCACTAGGTCCATCATCATGGTCAGCACTATTTAATTTTCGGAATTTTCCATTCTTCCGGAAATTTCCATTCTTTGTATAAACTTCGTGTCCATTTCTCATACTGCCATTGATAGTACAACCAGAGTCTAACTCATCTAAACTTGTTGACTTCATAAATGCTGCTTTTCTCATGAGTTTATGACTCATTTTTGGAGGTGGGATTTCAGGAGGAAGACTGTGTAGATTATTGTCACTGTCACACATTTCTTTATTGAAACAAACATGATTATTTTTTGTTGAAACTTTACGTCGACTTTTTGATTTTGATCGCCTCATCATGGGCCCTCGCCCATCCTTCCCAGGATTCCCATTGGCTTTCTGTGCCAATCCCCATAACAGGTGAATCGTTAATGAGTATGTTACGACCATTATCAAAAGAGGAATAAAGAATGCACTGATAGACCCATAAATGCGGAAATTAATATTAGCAATCCCACACATTCCGTGCACTTCATCGAGTACGTTGATGGGGTCAAGTATTCCTAGTATCACTATTGGGCTAGATATAGCCAGAGATATCACCCACACTATTACAATCTTCACAATGACTATCCTCATTGATTTATTGCGAGTCTTTAAAGGGTTCCGTATGCCGAGGTATCTGTCGAGAGATATGCAGCACATATGCATGATTGAAGAGGTACACAGCATGACATCACTGAAGGAATATAGAATACACAGTTCTAGGCCCAGAGTCCATTTACCTGAAAGTACAAGTATAAACATTTAGATCAATAAAAGTGGAAATTTCCATAAGTTTGGAATTTTCCATTAGTCTGGAATTTTCCATGTATATTATATGCAATGTAAGAACTTATGGACTAAATGGAGACTTATAGTTTCTAAACTTTTGAAGGGGGGTGTAGCTTATGATATAACAAGGCATTAACATGAAAAAATGTCATCACCTAGTTGCTCACAATATTGTAACAGATGCTGATTGCCAACCGCCGATCACATTCACCTGTTCACTAAAGATGGCAAACTACAACATATATGTTTATTAATTTGCAGAGATTTTTATTATGTTAAATCAAAGTGAAACAAATTAGATTGTTGCTAAATTAAAAGATGGCGCTCATATGCAGAGGTTCAATAAATCAGTCAGATATCTACAAAGAACAAATCAAATTAATTTGTTGAGATACATGCTGATGCACTTGTAAGAGAAACAACAAATATGATTTTGACTAATAGATGGCATCAATATACAAACTATCTATAATTCAGCAAGATACCTAAATCAGGGGTTTCATTAGCAGCAGACAAAATGCGATTTTCACCAATTGTTTTCACAAGGTTGCCTGTTGTTACCTTTCAACTTTTCCATATTAAATTTATGATTTCCATAAATTTTGCCTGTTGTTTTCATTTATTTACCCTATTGTGAGAAATTCTAGTGAAACCCCTGCCTAATATATAATGATAAACATGTACATGGTACTGCAATCATTATGAGCAGAATAAATATCCAGCAACATATGAATGAAAATATGAAAGTGAAGATACAAAATGATTTGAGTGATAAGATCAGAAATCATTTAACTTGTACAAGTACACTGACAAAAAGAAGATGAGCCCAATCATTTACAAAATGTCACTTGAAACATTACTCATGTTAAATATGTTTGGTACAACCCATGTAAAAAATTCCGATGGGCATATTTTAAAATTTGAAAAAGAGTGATAAAGACTAGAATCAGCAAGCAATAAAGTAAACAGCAATTTAGATAATATTCCAAATTGTATGGAAATGCAAAAAAATCAGACACGACTTTCAAATTTTAGAGAGAAATCGAGTAAAATGAACAGGAGCAGACGGATATCAGGATAACTTTTGGGAAGATAGCTATCAGTTTCTATAGGATTCTCATCAAATAGATTTGATTTAGAATCTGACAGTTTCATATCAGAAACATTATGGTTTTGATATATAAATTAATGACATGTCAAATTTGAGAAATGTAACAAGCTGAATAGTACTACGAGTACTGATACCAACAGGGATCAAGTAGATGTCACCGTCTCATTACATATATTTCTTCAATTTTGGAACCTCTGTAAATATGATGTAAAAGAAGTATTGTCACCAAATTGGTGGTTACATAAATATATACAAATAAAATACAATTTAAGCATGGCACTTCAAACATTTATTAGCATTGCATTTAACCCAACAGAATCATTAGTAATCATTGAGCACCCTCAATTCTTATTGTAATTTATTGTTCAAGTGAGAAATCTACTGAGTAGCACATATTCAGGACAACATCAAAATAAACAAGAAGATTGTAAGAGCTTAAATCAATTGATTTTAGATAGATTTATTACCTCATTCTAATTCTAAATTGTAGGAAACTCTCATGAATAAAGTTGCTAAAGTTAATGCATAAATCTAGCAAAACCTGTCTAAGTGGAAAGCTTTTGGAACCTCTAAAAGGTGTTCCACTTGAGAGGTGTTCCACTTCCAGTGATTCATTCAACATTTGTTAGTTAATTGGTCTTGGGTTCCACTAACAGAGGTGTTCTACTTCTAGAGGTCTTCCACTTAACAGGTTTCACTGTATGTTGAAAGAAATATTGATATGTATGATTTGAACTGTGTGTGTTTGATGGTAATACAGGTTGTGCCTAGTTATCAGCTACACTTGACTTTCCATTGTTCCACCTTTGAAACGGGTTCCAGATTATAAACAAAGTGGGAAAAAAATTTAACCTCTCTAAAATGCAATAGCAGAAATACAAACAAATCAGCCATTTGTCTTTTTTATTCATTTTCCAATATATATTGCCAAACTTTAACTGTACATTGCAAGTGTCCGTGATCTGGCAAATAAATCAAGTGAATAAAAAAAAGAATATGATGGAAAATTGTGTGACTTCTATGATATTATGTATATTGTATATGTTAATGTAACTGCTTTCAAATGTTTTTCTATGAATAAAAAAAGGAATAATAAAAAAAGAAACTAAAAAACATAATAACAAAAATGCAAATCCAAATCATCCATTTTGTCTTTTATTCATATAATCTGTAATATGTATTCATTCTATTGGCACACTGGAACAGTCGAACATAAATGTGTCCATCATCTGATAACTTCTAAAAAATTTGAATAAAAAAGTTCTAACATACAATAACATGAATCCAAATCATCCAATTGTTTTTTTTGTATTTATATATACTGCCCCATTAAGAACTGCCCAATGCAAAAGTATCCATGATCCGGTTACTAGTACAGTAAATAAAAAGAGGCTCCAGAACACAATGGCAGAAACGCAAATGCAAATCAATAACATGTAGGACAATTAAGTAAAGGCATTAAGAGTGCTCCATAACTCTTTGAACTGTTACAGTATTATATTATATTATATTCACATTAAGTTTATCAATATGCATATACTGTAACTGATCTTCATTAGAGATCTTAGGTCAAGTCAAGGTCACAATGACATTATATTGTGTATCTTGTAAACATAACTGAACTGAATGACTCATTAACTCTTGGCCTTCTAGAAAGTACTGGAACTGTAATCATTTAATCAAGATTGAATCATGTGACTTAAGATGTCCAATCAGTGTTATTTTCTAGAAAACATAACTTCTTGAAGCATCTGGACTATGCCTTTGCACTATATAATGAGAGAGCTGATTTGGGCTGTCAGCAGAATTTCAAAGTTTATCAAAGGACATCTTCTTAGCAGAAAATTACAGACACCTACTTTGGGAACATTTATAACAGTGCAAACATACAACCTGAGGACTTTATATGGACATATATTATAACACACACTATATAGGGATTATCATATACATTCGTGGATTATCATAAACATTTGTGGATTATCATCAAACATTTGTGGATTATCATCAAACATTATTGGATACGAACATTATAGGATTACAACAAACATTATTGGATTATTACAAACATTGGAGCATTATTAACGATTATTGAAACGCTTCGTGATCTGGAACATTCTCAAGGATATTTATCGACATCAAGAGACAGGCGTATCATTTCTCTACATCTACGTATCATAAGTATTGACTTTTATATATTATTGTCATCGCATTTAGTTTTCAAAAATATATTACTGTACATTGTTATATTTTAATTGCTGTTTTTACTTTCTGTTATTTTCGAACGTAACAGAAATTGGGGGCTCGTCCGGGATCCAACTACAACAAGCACAAATTCAAATATTTCAAAATCTAAAACTTGCACATTTAAATTGTGAAGACAGCAATTAATTGAAAATGAGTTTTGAGGTTGAGACATTTTTAGAAGCGCCCTCTTTGGAGGAATTTGATGATTTAAAGAAAACTGAACTTCTGGCAATTGCAAAACATGTTGGGCTATCAGTCAAAAGCTCATACAAAAAGGATACAATTAAAAACTTTGTACTTCAATATTTGGTCGCAGAATCACTTCTGCCTGAGCAGCCAGCCCAGCATGTTGAGCATGTTGATCCTATTAAGCTCAAAGAACTTGAATTGAGAGAAAAAGAGTTAGAAATTCAAAAAGAAAGAGAAATTAGAGAATTGAAAGAGAAAGAATTAGAAATTCAAAAAGAAAGAGAAATTAGAGAATTGAGAGAGAAAGAATTGCAAATGCAAAATGAAAGAGAAAAAAGAGAAAATGAAAGACAAATGAGAGAACAAGAAATTCAAAGAGAAATTGAATTGAAACGTCTTGAGATAGAAGCTCAATCCAAAACTGATGAACATGCTACTATGCATCAACATTTTGAAAATAGGTTTGACGCTTCAAAATTTCTCAAATTTGTACCTAAATTTCAAGAGAAAAATGTTGATAAATACTTTACACATTTTGAAAAAGTCGCTCAGAGCCTAGACTGGCCTAAATCTGCATGGCCAGTTATGCTTCAGAGTGTATTCATTGGTAAAGCAAGTGAAATATTTGCCTCTCTCTCAGCAGAAGTATGCTCTGATTATGACCTTATTAAAAATGCGATTCTTAAAGCTTATGAACTAGTGCCAGAAGCTTACAGACAAAAATTTAGAAATGCCCACAAGCAGAGTGACCAAACCCATGTTGAGTTTGCTAGAGAGCAAGAGCAGCTTTTTGACAGGTGGCTTGTCTCTAAAGATGTATCTGAAGAGTTTAAAAAGCTCAGAGAGCTTATGCTAATAGAACAATTTAAAAACTGTGTTCAGTATCACATTAGAACTTACTTAGATGAACACAAGGTAGAAACTTTAAGTCAAGCTGCCACCCTGTCTGATGATTATGCTCTTACTCATAAGGGTAGTTTTATCAAAGGTAATCCTAACACAAACTTTAGAGGTTATCAGGGTAACAAACCTTCATATGACTCTAAATCAAATCAGTACTCATCATCAAATACATCAAACAAAGCAAAAGACCAGTCTAATTCATCACAGAGTTCTAACTCAAAATCAGATCAATCAAATTCTTCAGGTCCAAAATCAAATGTCACCTGTAACTATTGTAAAAAGCCTGGTCATCTTATTTCTGAATGCTATAGGATTAAGAATAGAAGAGAGATGTCTGGTTCTGCTCATTCAAATGGTTGTGCTACAGTTCCCATTTCAAGAAAGCCCATTGTTTGGGATTCATATACTCATACTGAGAAATCAACTCATAGTGATATTATGGAGGATTATAAGCCTTTCATGTCGGAAGGATCTGTGTCACTGTCACGTGACGGTACCAAT